TGCGCGGCAGTCCGTTCTGTTTTAATTTACGGCAGCGAAACATGGCCATTAAGAGTAGAAGACACTCGTAAGCTACTAGTATTTGACCACAGATGCCTTAGAAATATTGCTGGCGTCTGCTGGGATCACCGGGTAAGTAATAGTGAGGTTAGACGCAGGGTATTAGGGAATGATGGTAAATCAGTTGATGAGGTTATGAATCTTCATCGACTGAGATGGTTGGGCCACGTGTTACGTATGCCTGAACACCGATTACCACGACGTGCAATGCTAACCGGTTTTGGAGATGGTTGGAAGAAAGTTAGGGGCGGCCAAACCAAAACGTGGCATCAGTGCTTGAAGTCACTAACTTCTAGTCTGAGCCATGTTGGTAGATGCAGACTACTTGGTTGGGGTCCGCGTGACTATCGTAACCAATGGTTGGAGACTCTTGGTGACATGGCTCAGAATCGATCACAATGGCGTCGGTGTATACACTCCCTGTCTTCCCTTAAACTAAGAGATTAAAATCGCTTCATATCTTTCTTTCTACGAACTAATTCTTTCTTCTTGTACTATATCTCTATATGCAATCTTCTCTTATTTATTACCACCTTTGACCTAACCACTGCTATGAATCCGGTGTTCATCTTGTTGTGCTGATGCGGTATGGCAACCTGGACCGATGCACATATGTGCCTGGTCCTACGTTGTAGCTGACTGACTGACTGACTTTACAGTTTAGCCAATCGTGATATGGTGCGGATGTGCGACGAAGCCTCTTCAGCTGTATTCAGTAAAAGTTGTGATGTCGGAATCAGTGGTTCATTCACTTGTTGCAAAAGAGCACATGCTATAACCTCATCGACTAGTTTCAGTTCGAAAGTATTTTCTGACAATTCAGTCTTCAGATTTTTACAATCTACCGTAGGTGCATTAAAATCTTCCAAGATTAAATATCGACTACTTTGTGACTAAGTGTTTAAATAGTTTGGGAAGACCTTGTTCATCTCGTAGTTTATACGGTGATAGACCAAGCCAGTCAGCAGCTCTCTACCTTTGCATTACAGGTGGAAAATAACTAATTCGCACGGGTATGTTATCAGTCACGGCAAATGGGATAGTATTTCTAATGAATAGAATTACTCCTCCCCTACGATTCTGAATTCTGTAGGCTCCAACCGATGTGAAACGTTTGAAATCAGGTTCCCAACTTTTTACAGACTGCGTAAGGCAGGTTTCTGTGAGGGCGATTCCATCCAGCTTGGTGGAGTCCGTCTGTACACCTGTCTCTTGTTGAACAAGCTTCGGACGTTTGTCCAACAGACTCGAAGACCATTTAAATGTCTTTTTGCTACACCCGAAGTGGGTTAAGCATCATTCTTTGTCGAAGCCTCACTACCCTAAAATTTACAAATTTAAGGTCCCTTCTGTCAGAATCTAGCCTTAGTTATAGCTCTTTCTTGTCCTCCCGCCTTTTTAAAAAATCACGAGCAGCAAGCACTTATGGGTAAAAATCTCCGACTTCTTAAGTTCATGTCCATTCCGCATTACTAAGTCCCTTTCACTAAGAGAAGTAAATACCACTTTTAGCGACCTGGTTTGATTTTTAAGTTCACTTAGCTACCTATTTTATAAAGCTTCAGCAAGGCGATTCTATAGGTATCCTGACGCACTAGCTAGTTTAGCAAATTTTCTATCAAGCTTATGTTCAGCTCAAAGCGAGTTCTACATTCTGAGCTTTCAGTCTCCTTGACTCTAAAAGACAATTGACCTTTCATTATAATTAGCCTTTAATTTATCAGCTATAGTTTGAAGGACTGGTTTTTCTTTAACGATATTAGGTCGTTTCTCATTCTTGATTTATACCTACTCATCAGTTTTCACTGGAGTAGCAATCACAGACGCATTACTTAGACTGCGAGATCTTGAATGATTGTCGATGACTTGGGTAGTCAGGTTGTTTTTCCTGATAGAAACAGACCTGGTTTTACGACTACGTCTTCTTGCTCGCTACCATTTGGAGAGTGACGGACAGAAGAAACTTACTTTCTTGAGTTTTTATGTCTAACAAACCTCTTTATAGACCTTCTTCCGTCTTCCCATGTAATTTAATAGACTCTGAGCTTAGTTGAGGTATTTTCATATCGATTTGTGTATCGACAACGTGAGCACCATTTTATCCATCTCAATTACGCTTGTAAAGATGCTTTTTATCAGCATTCACCAATTCAGTGACTTCGGTTAGCAAGCTGTTTGCGTCCCAGCATCACTGCTAGCACAAACACATACATCCATTTGTACCAAATACTTTGAAAGGCACAGGTGTTAAATTCGTGCACGTTTCGTGGCACTATCCTTTGTACTCATCGCACTACATGCCACTTTCCACAGAGTTTCGATAGCCCGTGCGTTGGGTATTGATTTTTTCCACTGTCCATTCATTAATCAAAGATTCTCAAAAAGAATCTATGCACAAACAACACCTAGAGACAAAAGAAACTGATGACCGGAAAAAGTTAAAAACTGTAAAATTTTCGAACCAAAAGTGCAAAAAAATACGAAAAGAACCAATGTACTCAAAAGTACACATGATAAATTACTTTCGAAAAAACGATATACTTAGCGATTACTTTAACTAAAATAAATTTAGTTAAAGCGAAAACAGCTGTCTTGATGAGTAATTAACTATTAAATCAACAAAAGTATTTCAGTAAAAAAAAATACCACCATCCTTTTCAAATAGCTCGTAATATTTGTTGAATGTTTCACAATAAAATGCAACTAATATAAACGTATGAATAAGAATAAGGATGGTTACAAAATTATCACTTAAATGAATTCTTTGGACGTCTACAGTATTTCTCATAAAAAATAGTTAATGTGTCAGTGAGAATGTTCCCATGTTTCGTCTGGGTTGCTACCTTGTTTTAAAGTGGATGTAAATGACTCTGTGGCGTGGTGTGTGGCAAGCCCATTTGGCCACTGTATCATTTGTCTACTCATTGTAACTCAGACACTTAATTCATCATGTTAATTTCTGTGTGCATTTCTGACTTAATTGACTATGTTAATTTCGGTGTGTATGACCGAATGCATGTCTGTACATTAACCCTTAAGCTATCCTCCTTTTGGTTGCAATGTGCAGATAATCGATAATTTATCCACACCCGATTAACTCTCAAAAATATATATGGATTTTTAACACACACACACACACTCACACACTCTGTTTCATCGTGTGCTTGCTCGCTGTACGCTTGCGGATTTTTATGAATCATTAACAATAAATTATCTCTACAACTGGTGTTTAGGCTTCTGAATAATCTCGAGTAAATCCGTAATTCTACTAGGTGATTAAGCCTACCTTAAATACTCAGTTTACGGGATATTATTTATTGGAGTCAGATATTGAGGACACTAGCCTCAACAGGTGTCTATGATTGTAATTAGCCTACTACTGACTTGCCGTGTCATAAATTGTTAGTGTCTCCGATTATTCATGATTTAATTTGTTTAATACGGTTGGCTATCACTATTAATGCACTTTACATGTGGCAAAGAGAAGCGATGATGAACATGGCTGTTTTGTGATAAGTACATACCATTAAGGTTCACATTATACACATATAGGCATTTAGTTCCCGAATAATCATTGTTGAGATGCATCCTTTAGAGAGCCTTTCCTTTGCTAATACCGTCGTCAAAGTAAGTTACCCAAGGTGCATTGATTCTCAAAGAGAATTAAGGTGGAACGCCTTATTATGCATTATTTTTCCCTAGTGTAAATTCATCAAATACTTCCTACCTTATATTAGGCTTTTAGTATGTGACTGGAACCTCACTCATTTAGGGATTTCAAAACATGGATCATCCTTTCCAAAGTACATATCTCGCTTAAAATGTATTTCTTAACAATCAAGCTGTGTTCTTTCTCAAATCGGTTACACATGAATAATGTTACATAATTACCACACAAAAAACAATTTTTAATTAAGTTGATGATACTTCGCCTAATAGCTTAGATAATAAAGAATGCTATTGAAATGCGGTGTTATTTGATAGAAAAATACAAACATTAGGACAAATAACCAGAAATGATGAACACAACCTTACAACTAATTCTGGTTTTATATAACCCATTATGTACTGAACAAAGGATGGAAATCCTCTAATATAACATGTAGGGTATAAACAAAACGTTAAATAGCCTGATTCAATTATTTCCTGATAATTTCACACAGTGAAAATGAAGTTCCATTACGTTTTTTCGATAAATAAACTTGCATAACAACGATATTAATTAAATATTGTATAATTTGAGCAAACTGTCTTAAAGTGAAGACAGCAAAAAAAAGAAGAGCACTAGAAATAAACAAATATCAGTGAGTACAATAAGAACACAAGAAAATATAAGGGACTAATTAACATATATTCCAGCTGCATATAGATACAAATGGAAATATGAAAATCCATAGAATAAATATATTAGAAAGCAATCCAAACAAATTATTGAAAATATACTACTAACCAGTAAACATATTACAATTACATCAAATATAGCAATATAATAACTAACACACAAATATAAACAAATAATAGAACAAACCAATAGGACACAATATCGCAAATATTATAGCTGAAGGAAGCGATTTTCATGACCCATTTCTATATATTTTTATGGGTAACATGTGGGGAATAGGTTTAAATGTAGCAGTCATTAGAATGTGACTAGTATATCTGCAGAAGAAAAATATGAATATTCCGAAGAACAAATAGAACACACGGAAAATGAGTAAAATAACTAAACTTTTATATAGAATATAGCTGTTGATTGAGTGTATATTTTTCGTGTTATTTTTTTATTATAACACTAAGACACTAAGTAATTTAGAAGAATCATAAGTAAGTTATTACTGTCACTATATCAGTGTGACAAACAAACAGAACACCAAATATCCGCTGTTACAACGTTGTAGGAGCGAAATATCACAAAAAACCAATTAATTTCTTAGTTTTTATTAACTTCTTTGATGAGGTATATGGCCACCGTTTCCCATCCGAACTTGACGACGTTGAAAACCATGATTGATTAGTGGACCACGGCGTAAACATTTGGAACGTTGAGAATCAACGCATAGGTTTGTATGATTATTTTGTTTACGACAAGCATTCCAACGTGCCAACGCTTGACGTGTTCCATTGGAATTTCTAGCGGAGGACTGATGTATATGACCAGGTCGTAATCCATTACGTGGATGAGATTTTAATATTTCGGTTTTTGATGTTATAGGAATAACTGTATTTCCAGGATTATTTCCAGACAAATGTTTGTTCTTTGATGATTTGTTGGCATTTTTGGATCTTACGGGAGGCTCATTGTATCTGTCCAGACTACAATGAGAGCTATAGCAGTTATAATCACTGTTTGCAGAAGGTGAACGAGATTTATATTCAAATTCAGTGTCTGATTGTCGACCAGCTACCGAATGTGGGCGACTTGGATATCCATCATCTCGATCGAATTGCATGAATGACCAATCAGAACCTACAAAACAATGATAGAAATTGAAAATGGTTAACAATTATTAATAGTATCTAATAAGACTTACGTAATGATACAATTAAACTTTCAAAATTACTTTGACTATTTTGAAAAAAACTAAATCGAACATTTAGAATCTAGGCTAATCCGTGAATTAATAGTTTAGACTCACTCTCTCTCTCTCTCTCTCTCTCTCTCTCTCTAGACTTTCAAATAAATAATAATTTCAAATGCTGATCCTTCTGATTCAATTTTCATAGATGGAACCTTATAAAGGCTCTCTACTCGAACACAACTGGTAGAGTGAGAGCTTATGGCGAACTGTCATCAGAATTGATTACCTCAAGTGGTGTTCGTCAGGGCTGTCCACTCTCTCCGTTCTTGTTTAACTTTGTCATTGACGTACTTTTAGAGATAACACTTTCCTCATCTGACTTTCCAGGGGTTGAACTTTCACCGGGAGGTTCACTTGTTGACTTAGAATATGCTGATGACATAGTTTTATTTGGTGAAGACGCTGACAAAATGCAGTCTTCTGACCACTCTAAGCAACAATGGAAGCATTTTCGGGATGCGATTCTCTCCTTCGAAATGCAAAATGTTGATTCAGGATTGGGTTACATTGACACCCGAACTAATGATAGGGAGTGAAGTAATTGAGCGTGTCGATCGATTCACTTATCTTGGAAGTCTCATCAGCCCTTGTGGTCTGGTGTGTAACGAAATCTCAGCACGGATACAGAAGGCTCGACTAGCTTTTGCCAACTTGCGTCATTTGTGGAGTAGGCGAGATATCCGTCCATCAACCAAAGGACGTGTTTACTGCGCAGCAGTTCGTTCCGTCCTTCTTTATGGCAGTGAAACATGGCCGGTAAGAGTAGAGGATATTCGTAGGTTACTAGTATTTGATCATAGGTGTCTTCGAAATATTGCTCGTATATCGTGGGACCATCGAGTAAGTAATGCAGTTGTTGGGGAACGGGTACTAGGTAAGGATGGCAAATCAATTGATGAAGTAGTGAAACTTCATCAGTTGAGATGGCTGGGACACGTGTTACGTATGCCCAACCACCGACTGCCCCGACGTGCTATGTTCAGTGGTATAGGAGTAGGTTGGAAGAAAGCTAGGGGCGGCCAGACCAAAACATGGCACAAGTCCATGAAGTCACTGACAAGTGGACTGAGCCATGTTGGTAGGTGTAGACTACCTGGTTGGGACCGCGAGATGATAGAAACCGATGGTTAGAGACCCTGAATGACATGGCTCAAAATCGTTTGCAATGGCGCAGTTGTATACACTCTTTGTGTTCTCACAAACCCTAACCTTCTGAATTCTTCATGTCCCTTTTTTTCCTCTTTCCAAATTTATTTCACTGGATTATACTCCTTGAATAACGTCTTCAAACCCTGGTGTTTCCGACTACTGTTTATATTCTTACTACCCTACCACTACGGGATTTGAATGGACAACTGCAGCTCTGTGCTAATGTGGTATGGCAACTCGAACTGATGTACGTACGTACGGAGTTCTACGTTGTTACTGACTGATTGACTGAGTAATCCCCATTTAGTTTCTGTTTGTTTAGCTTTCAACTATATAAGTACGACTAATTAGTAAGAATATAATAATAATAATAATAATAATAATAATAATAATATAATAATAATATAAATAAACTTGATAAGATCAACTATTAACATTACCAATGATGATGTCATAGATTTACAAATATTTATCAAAAATTATATTCAAATTAATTTATTATTTAGAATTTTGTTTTTCTGAAAAGCATATGATTGATTGTCTTAAAATTTACAATAATAAAAATAAAAATAAAAATAGAAAAGGAAAACGAAAAAATTCCAACATCGGTCATAAATTCTTTCAGCCAACAGTATTATCTATTCAATTTACAAAAGGTATTTACTTATTTACCTTATATAATATGTACACTATTTTATTAAATACTTCATATTATCATTCTTATATTATAAACAGATGAAGAAAATTCATTATATAAATAGATTCATATTATTCAACTACAAATGTTTGTTTTTCTTTCTTACTTGATTCATATATATATTATGATAAACTAATGAATACCCACTTATTAAGTAATTAGATAGTTTGATAATTATATATGAGACTAAGGTCGTCCATTGACGAAAAATTTCAAATTAGAATGAAACAGTGTTTAATTAAATACTTTATGATTTATTTTTCTGTTATTATTCAGGAGGGGTTTTGTGGAGATTGTAGTCATTTCAATAGTTTAGATCATGAATTAATTGAAGCTAGATCACTATGGAAAACCTGGATGCACTGGATGACCGTTTCGTCCTATTGTGGGATTCCTCGGCAGTGCGCATCCACGATCCCGCTCACGGGATTCGAACCCGGGACCTGTCAGTCTCGCGCGCGAGAGCCTAATCACTCGACCACTGAGCCGACACCCAACGGTGTTATTATTCAGTAATCAAAACTGTATTAAAATTACACACATCTTTGAAACGATGTTATTTATTCAGAGTGTACAATCATGTTTGTAGTTGTTTTCTAAACAGTTGCCCATAATAAGATCATTAACAAGATTAACAAAAATTAACCAAAAATGTGTTTAGGTGTTGAATCTAAGTTACGTAATAACTGTATAGTTATAAGAAGGAAGTGAAATTGAAATAAAATATGGAAAAAAGAAACAGAAGACAATTGTTCAGTACAGAGAAGATAAAGAAAAGACAAACACGTATTAGAAACAACTTACAAAATTAGAAGAATAGTCAGTACCGTGGTAAAATAATGGACAGAACATATCACATCTGATCAGGCTTAAATCGTTAAATTACCATTTTCTTATTAACCCTTGGTTATTGCGTAACTTCAACACTTAAAATAGAAAGTCGATGCACCATTAAAAAGGATTCTAAAAACGAATCAAGCATATTTCTATTAAATACTACCAAATCTAAACAATGGTTATAAATACGATCATACAGCTTTAGTAAATGAAATTGTCGAAAGGAAAATTCTCTCCGTCAAATTGTCTTTATTTTGCTTCATGAAGCAACGGTTTTCTCTAACTGTAGATATAATATTAATCACTAAAACCAAAAGCTTAAAACACTATACAATCCTAACTATCCCTTGCTTATGATCTTTAAATATGGAATGATGTAATATTTACAAGTTGTTTTTTTTTTTCATTGAAAAATTGGAATTCATTAAATGTTTGATTGTAACTAGAAGGAAATGATTAAATAAGGCTTTATATTAGTTGTGGTTCATCAGAAGTGATGGTCTAGAGTCAACTAAAATATCTTCAAAGTTTTCCTTTCGCTTTATTTATCAGTACGGCAAGAAACCTCGTTCAGATGTGAGATAGATGACTGAACAACAGAGATTATCAAAAGTCAATAATAAATGAATTCCGAACGAAAAGCTAAATAGCAGAATATAAGAATCATAGATGATCCCATGGTCTTGCAAGGAAATAGCTCTGCAATAATTAGCAATATTGAACTAGAACTAAACATCTATGTTTAATATTTGTTTCCTGGTTTTTAATTAATTTCATTCTAATGAGAAAAGCTATTTTGAAAGAAACCGAAGAAAATAGAAATTTCATTGGTTTTTTTTTAAAACTTAATATTGTTTTCCCTAATTAAAGTAACCAATCAAAATATCGTCTGTTAATGGAATGCAAGAGGAAAGTCTCAACTGTTACCCAGTTGCTACCATAGTAATTAGTACAATGTAATAGTTCAAGGTTAACAAATATAAGCCAGTAATAAACAGGTCACTAAACTTATTTGTAAAATTCACAAAAACATGAATCGATTTTCATTTTATGTCAACAACAACAACAACAACAATTCTGTTAAGTTAACTAAGACTAGCTAACATTAGAATAAAAAATCCAATTAGTTTATAGGATAAATGATGAAAATTTATTGCAGTAAAACTCCATAATAATGATAATAATAAGTCTCCCGTTTAAAGGAAAAACGATTTATATAAGTGTGGCATAAAATTGTCGAAGAGACCCAGAAACGTTCTCGAAAAAAAGAAAAATGGGCTATGAAAACTCCGAGAAGCATCTTATCCAATCAGCATTCAATAAGAGTTTTGCCAGAAAAATTTAGAAAGTGAAAAGTCACACGTCCAGTTTCTGACTGGAAGATTACCTATACTGTTACTATATTTAGTAGCACCCCAGAAATTCCCGGAAGCCCAAGGCCATCTTAAATGCTATAAATACCCTAAATTTTCTGTACATAAACGAACCTATGGAGTAAAGCATTTCTTTCATATTCCACACCTTTTCTCTCTTGTTCAAATTGCTGTATAGATTTAGCCTAAGGGTTACTAGAGAGCTTAGGAAACTGAATCTAGTATTCAATTAGAAGATTTATGAATAATCTAGATGAGTGGTTTATTCTTAAAATAGGCGAGTTAGAGTTTTATGATGAGGTGATAAAAAGAAAGAAAACTCAAAACTGTAAAATATGATTGGAGTCTGTAAATCATTTCTAACTAGCTTACAATCTTAAAAGGTTCAATGAGCTTGTACATATTGGTTTTAACACTAATAAGAATATGTGAAAATTAATGGTGCTGTTGTAATAGATTAACACTACTGAAAGGTCGTTTTAAGTTGTGTGTTTTATTCCCTATTTATTTATGTTAGTTGGCAGTATATTTTTCATTGGATTCTAGTAATTTTCTTAATTACTATTTAGTTATATATCTGATTCAAATACAACACGACGAACAGCAATCCAACCACACTTTATGGCGAAACTCTGGAAGATGTAGAATCTTTCACATATCTGGGAAGCATCATCTATGAACAAGGAGATTCAGATGCGGACGTAAAGGCGAGGATCGGCAAAGTAAGGGCCGCATTCCAACAGTTGAAGAACTTATGGAACTCAAAACAACTTTCAACCAATATCAAAGTGAGAATCTTCAATACGAACGTCAAGGCAATTCTACTGTATGG